CAACACCAAGTCAAGGGTTAAGATCCCCTTACCAGTCATCTTAAAAAAAAAAAAAAAAGTGTTTTTAATCCTTGATACCTGTTTTCAACTACATCCATGATTAACCCATGGCATTGGGAGTTTCACTTTCTAGTGGTTTCTCATAAAGCACATACACCTGAGGTAGCTGGAAAAAAAATTAATCTGTATGTGTCTACTCACTAATCGCAACAGAGGGTTTATCGTAGCTCTTCTGGAGACTCAGCCTAAGAATGTGTAAAAGAGACTAACAAAAAAGGACTCTTCAGAAAACAGTGTGTGGAAGTGATCTAACCAGTGGGCTGTGGCTGGATTAGAATAACCAGCGATACCTCCCCCTTACTGAGTCACCTGAAAGGGTGGAGCCCAGTCCCTGTGCATTCAGACGAGCTCTCTGCAGATGCCGATGTTACCAAGTCAGGGAATTACCTGACTTAGCTCACCCACAGGAAGGCAGTCGAGATAAGAGAGGGGCGCCTGTCATTATTTCATTATCTTTGATATCATTAACTTCCTACAGACACATCTGCTAACAGAAAAATAAACGAGAAGTGATGATTTTTGAAGAAGTGTTAAAATCTTCTTGAACATAAAGAACATAGAACTATGTTCTGATGGGATAGCAAGAAATGCTCTTATTTATTTATTTATTTATTGGTGTCTGGCCGGTACAGGGATCTGAACCCTTGACCTTGGTGTTATAACACCACACTCTAACCAACCAAGCTAGCTGGCCAGCCAAGAATACTTCTAAATGAGGAGTACATTTCTGAAAGTCCTTCAGATGTGATTTTTGGTCTCTAGTCAAGAGAATAATGGAGTCACAGAAGTGTTATTTAAAAACTGCATTTAATTAATACAAATGTCACACACTTCCACCACCCCACGAACGGCCACCTCATCTTAATGAAGGAAACGGAGACTACTATGACTCAAATCTTCATTCTGTGATGTGTGTGTCTAGACAAGTTTAGGCAAACAG